AGTAGTACATTTTTGAAAAGAGCCATCTAAACAATATGAAGAACAAAGGCAAGAGTGTACCCTGAAGCTCCTGAGGATAAATGGCTGGTTCAGACTGGAAAGGTCATATGTCACTTATGCCACTTGCTTCATGTGGCCAGATCTTTTATGTAGATGACCAACATTATTCTGCATTAGCGGAATTTTTTCAGTTGTCTTTATTGGTTAACAAAAAGGGTATGTCCCTGTCCCTGTTAGAGGAGTACATGTAGGAAAAGAGTCCCACCTCATGTCATTTCAGTGTTGACTAAAAAAAGTTGAGTAGCGTGAATTAGGAGTCAGACCTAGTTCAAAACTAGGCTTTTTTACTTGTTGATCATAGCAAGTTACTTTCCTTTCCTGGGCCTCAGTTTCCTCATCTAGAAAAGGAAGGGATTGGACACTGGCCAATCTCTAAGGTCCTTTCCAGTTCTAAAATCCCATGATTTAAGTTGCCAGAAACTTAGAATAAATGTACTTTGTAGAGTATCCTTTGTACCAACACAGTAATCTCCACTGTAGTAGAAAGAGTATTGTCCCTAGAGGCCAGTGTTCTCTAGTCCTGCCGGCAAATAGCTCTGTGGTCCTGGGCATATCACTTGATCTTTCTGAACTTCTTTTTCTTCCTCCATGTATATGGTAAGATGATGGCTGTGTGAGGTCTAAATAGCTCTAAATCTATGATCTCATGAAAATGAGAACACAAAGAATCCTTTGAGGATTTCTGGGAGGGTCAGATGACATCATAATAGATGGTTTGCAAAGCAGTTCACATCAGTTATCTCATTTGAGTCTTATAAAAACCTTGTGAGTTCATACTCTACAAAGCATTATTTCCTTTTACAGTTGAGGAAGCTAGATCCCAGAGTGGCTCAGTGTCACACAGCTATTATGTTTTAGATTTGGAATTTGAATGGAATGCTTTAGAAACACTGAAACCCTACATAAAAAATGTTAGGCATTACTGTGAATAATAATTAGGCTAGAAAAGATAAAATAATGTCTTGGAGAGAGTACTGAACTTGGAGTCACTTGTTGGTTTTTTGACCCTAGGCAAGTCACTTAACCTCTGTATGCTTCAAATAACACCCTAGGACTCAATCTGCTGGAAGAAGTTCCTGCGAATACTTTGTGTATTTGTGTATTGGACTGGAAAGTAGAGGTCTTTTAATTTGAAACTGGTTTTTAAAGTGTGTTTTTATTTATTTAAGACTATCTTCACCCAGACTGACAATGTGATAATGTCTAGTCACTGTCCCTATCCCACGTTGATCTGTTTCAGTTTGGGCAGCTAGATGGCACAATGGATAGAGTGCTAGGCTTGAAGTTAGGAAGATTCATCTTCCTGAGTTCAAATTTAGCCTCAGACACTTACTAGCTGTGTGACCCTGGGCAAGTCACTTTGATGGGGTATGGGTCCAAGCCGAGACCTTTGCCCCTCACCCTGAAAAGAATTTGGGTCATATTTGCAGGCCCCAGAAAACCCTTAAACTTTTCTTAAACTCACTTACTTGGTCAAAGAAATCTCAAGTGGTTGCCTGGGGCTATAATCTACTCAACTGGCCATTTCTTATCTAGGCCCAATCTCCCAATTCTTTGTTATCCTGATTAAGCCTAGCCCTCCATTGTCTGTTTGGATGACCCCATTCAGTCTCTTAGACACTTCTATAAGGATTCTCGCAGGAACCCCCCCCCCCCTTCAAGATCCTCCCTAAACTCCTTCTCCTTCTCCAGTACTGGCCAATCCCATCAAGATGCCCCCTTCTCCTAGCTCCTCCCCGCCTCCAGTCACCCCAAACCATTTGACCACTCTTAGATCCCTCCCATAGTCTTTGTATATGTAAGATCCATCCTGGCCGTCAGTTGGGGCTGAGACTTCCTCATGACCGCTTCTCCTTTGAGAGTCACAAATATTCAGATTCCTTAAGAGTCTGTCCTATATGGCTCATCTTTAATAAACCTTGGCTTTGGCTGAAAGAAGGCTTGGGTCGAATTCTTTTGGGCAGGATCCATGTGTTATGATTTTGGAGTCCCAGCACCCCTAAACCTCTAGGCTTCAACAGCAACCCCATTTGTCTCAGTTTCCCCATCTGTAAAATGAGCTGGAGTAGGAAATGGCAAACCACTCCAGTATCTTTGTCAAGAAAATCCCAAATGGGGTCACTGAAAGTAACCGAACAAAAAACAGCTGGACAACAGTTTCAGTTTACCCCTCTTTAGAAAACCCAGCCCTCCTCTTCCTTCACCCCTACCCTCCACATTAATGCCCAACTTAGTGTGGACACCAATTGTCTTAACCCATTGCAGCTCAAAATCTTCAGGCTTGAGAAATCTGCCAACCTCTGACTTACTGACAGCAGGGATTATAAGAGTGTACCACTGTGCTGGCTATAAGCCTAGGTTGCCCCCCCCCCCAAAAAGTAGCCAAATAAAGCCATGCATTTGAACATTTAGGTAGATGGTTCTGTTCTAAGATTTAAACTATGTAATTATTATGAGGGCATTTCGTTTATTTAATCAGGAAACAACAATAAGGCAAAACTTTATGTAGCTAAATTACACTAAAAAAAAAAAGCCAGGAGTAGGTAGCCAACAAAAAAGATTGGGTTGGGGCCTGTAGTCTCTTTGTTTATGGTTATATTTCTTCAGATTTCTTCTTCCTTCCCCCCTCCTTTTTTATTTTTTTTTTTATTTACAAAATTCTTTACAGTGATCTTTATTAGCATATATTTGAGGGGAAAAGGATTACTGGTGTGATTGTGGATGGTGGTAAAGTGGAGGTCATACTTGTAAAAGAAGTCAATAAGCAACCTCCTTCCTTATTCCTTAATGCAGTCAATAAGATTTGATTTTTATATGTTACAAGACATTTATATGTGTCTAGGTTAGGCAAAATATTTTTATGTTTATTTGTTAATTTTACTATATAAGACAAATGTTCTGTAAGACATTCGGATATTTCCCTATGTAATAAATTTCTAGGATTACTATTATATAATTTAAAACTCAGTTGGTGAGACTTCTAGTTAACATGGTGATTTAGGTCCTAGAGGAAACCACATTAACCCAAGAAAATATCTAAAAAGGTATCAGATCAAGTAGTGATCAAGATGACCAAAGAAAAACATCAGTAACCTCTTCCATCTTGACCAGCACTGCATAAGGAAACAGACAGAAGCCTAGAGGCACTGAAGTTTTGGGACAGAGGATTGATAGAAGCATGCACCTACCTGGAGGGTGCCAGTAAGAACAAAATCTGGTAAATGGGATCTCTTAGGGCCACAGTTGGACACAGAGCAAATCCCAGTTGGGGTTTGTATAAGGGAAAGGAGATACAGAAATGAGTTGAAGGCAATATCTGCATTGGACTACAAGGAGACAAAAGAAGAAGCCACAGTGGTGGTATAGGGCAGAGTGAGTGCCATACCAGCCAGAACAGCAGTGTTGGTGGTATCTGTATTGTAGAGGAAATCAGGTCCACATAGGGCCTTTACTCCCCATCCAAGAGTATGGGGTCAATGTGTAAGCTGGGAGGTAAAACTTGACCCTGGTACAAAATCCCGATTCAGCATCTGAGGCTAGAAATAATGAATAAATAGAAGAAAATGCAAATACTATGAAGAAATATTGTGGGTTGAGAAGCTCAAGAGTATAAAGTAATTTCTCAACATGTAAAAACAGAGCTTCAGAGAAAAGAATGACTTGGTCACAAGAACTCAAGAAGCGGTTGAAAGAAATGAAGCAGGAGATTTTAAAAAATTGAAATTAGAGCTCCTGAAGAAAAAAATTGGAAGGAGAATAACTTAGAACAGAAAGTGGAAAACCCCATCCAAGAGGTGGACTCCTTGGAAAAAAAAAAGTCTGGAGCAAATAGAATTCTGTGATTCTATGAGATAACAAATACTGGAGAAGTCAAAAGACTGAAAAAATAGAAGAAGGTGCAAGGTATCTATTATTAAGAACAAAACTGACCTGAAAAACAAGTCAGGGAAAGATAATTTGAGAAGTATCAGATTCCTGTAAAACCATAACCAAAAAAAATCTGCTTGCCATATTTCAAGACATCATAAATACAAAATAAATGAATAAATACTGGAGTTACCAGAAGAAATAGAAAAAAGTCCACCAGTCTCTTTGAGGAATGTTAAGCCAAAATCCAGAGCTTCCAGGTCAAATCAAAAAATACTTAAAGGAGCCAAGAAAGAAAAAATGTTAGTATTAAGGAACTACAATTTGGATCACACAATACTATCATGCAAAATATTTTAAAGGAGAGAAAATCTTAGAATATGATATTACAAAAGATAAAATCAAGAATAATTTTCCCAGCAAAACTAGTATAATTCTATAGGAGGAAAATGAATCTTTAATAAGACTGGAGACTTTCAAGCATTCTGTATGTAAAGACCAGAATTGGCTAGATCTTGAAGAACAGAGGAGAAGAGAAATCTAGGAAAGCAAATACATTTGAGTAATTGGACAGGGCTAAATAATGATAAGTTGCTTTCTTCTAATTAGGGAGAAGAGACAAGGATCCATTGAGAATCTTACTGTCTTTGAGTGTTATAGAGAGATTTAAGAAAGATAAATACAGAGCCTGCGTTGGCTTTGCTCCATTTAATGGTTTTAAGAGGGAAATAAAAAGAAATGGAAGTTAAAAATATACTAAGGGAGAAATGAGGAAAAAATGGGAGGAACTTAGTATTCCTCTTTATTTAGGTACATAATATTCACAGTTTTATATCCAATGTTTTCTGCCCTTTGTGTTTGTAAAGTAATAACCTTTTTTATCATTAATATATAGCTGTTACATCACATATAACATGTTAAGCTTTTATATTATTAATAAGCTATTATGTCAGCTGTATTTTTAAATGAGGAAAATGTTTCTGTACTTGGTATGTATTTGTATATTTTTAAAACAATTCTAATTATAAAACTATAGCATACCATTAACTCTCTTATGTATTTTTCGTGTTAAGAGATGAAATAGGACTAATTCCCTGTCCTGAAGCTCGGTACAACCGGAGTCCAATAGTCTTGGTTGAAAATAAACTTGGTGTGGAGAGTTGGTGTGTCAAGTTTCTTTTGCCATATGTCCACAACAAGCTTCTCCTCTACAGGCAAAGAAAGCAGCGACTAAACAAAGATGGTAAGTCTGAACGATATCTTTTTCTTAGATAATCTATAATGAATGAGCATCATCTTTATGGGTGAAAAGCCACAATAAATAGCAGCTTAAGTAATATAAGAAAGGATTGCAGGAATGATCATTGTGGGTATACTGTGACATAGATTCATGAAAGTGCCACCACATGGGAATCCAGTTTATAGTATGTAGTTTAAAGTCCTTCACCTGCTCAGAGGCCAGAGAGTATTCAGATTTTAGAAATGTTAAGCACCTGTTATTTATTTAGTACAGTGTTGGGGAAGATACAAAGTTCAGCTAAGATCCATTACTTCCCCACATTAATCTTCCACTCCAGTCATTCTAATTGCTCTGCTCTTTGCTTTTTTCTTAATTTCAGTATGTTTGTTAAACATTTGTTTTGTGCAAGGGTATACAAAAACAAGGGTTCCTTCCATTAAGAAGCTCGTGTTTTTTGTCTTTTCCCTAGTCTAAAATGCCTTGCTTCCCCTTTATGAACAAATCCTCCATCTTCTTCAAGATTTGGTTCATGTCCCTCACCTTAAATGAAACCATCTTCAAAAACAAGTTTCATGTTTCTCAGTGCTAGGTACATTATAGGTAATTAGCAATACCTGTTCACTGCTTTTAAAAAATAATAGTATTTATGTAGTGCTTTAAGGTTTGCAAAGCAATGTACATGAGGATCATTTGAGCTTCAAAACAGCCCTATGAGGTAGGTGCTGTTTATTATCACCATTTTACAGATGCTACAAATAGCTCCAAAGGTAGTATTTGACCTTGTCTTACTGAATCTGAGTTCAGCACTCTTTACATTAACTCAGGCTGCTTCTGTGTGTGTCCTTTCTCCCATGCAATCCTCTTTGTTGTAAGAACGGACCGTGTTGGTCTACTCACTACCTGACCAGTGTGACACCTGATGAATCTTACTTTCTTTCTAGAGTTATATTGCATATGCCAGTGCACATAAATAGCTAGTTGAGAAAATACAGAATCTCATGTGTTGTGGGAAGACAAATAATCTTCCCTAAAGAAGAGGCAAGTAGTTAGTTAAAAATAAGTCAATTGTTATAGTTATTTCCTATCTTTGGTCTTTTTTTTTTTTAATCCTTTTATCCTAGTCATCTTTACCTAAAAAAATTTCCAATCTCTCCTTTCCTTATTGGCTCACCATCAGATTATCTGTGGGTATGATGAAATACATCCTTTAAACCTTGCTTTACCACTCAGACTCATCACTTTTCTTCCATGTTGATTCATGTAGTTGGACTGCTTAGGCCAGGGGTGGGGAACCTGCAGCCTTGAAGCCACATATGGTCTTCTAGGTCCTTGGGTGCAGTCTTTTGATTGAGTCCAAGTTTTACAGAACAAATCCTTTTATTAAGGGGATTTCTTCTGTGAAGTTTGGATTCAGTCAAAGGGCCGCCCTTGAGGACCTAGAGGGCCACATGTGGCCTGGAGGCTACAGGTTCCACACCCCAGCTTAGGCTTTAAGAGGTACCAAACCTACTGTTAGCAAGGGAAGTTAAATAGAATAGAGTGTTAAATAGGCTTACTCACATCAAAGCTAGCATTCAGACTTTGAATTTTAATGGATTTTTTTATGTTTTCAGGATAAACTTTTTTATTTCATCACATTCTTAAGCTTACCCATGATGATATATGGTGAAACAGATAACCACTTTGATTAGATAGTTTAAAATGTCTGAATCCAGATTATTTATGTCTTGAAAAAGATTCTTTATAGTTTATGCTGCCACATACTAACTGCCTGAAATTATATGATGCTGTGGAATTTAAAGGAGCAAATTTCTGATGAGGAGAAGATAGTTAAATAGGCTGATTAATTATAAAGACACCTTATCAAGTTTTAATAATTTAGGGTCACTAGAACATATAATGAATGTCACTAGAAAATTATAAAAATTATTAGAAAAATCAGTTGTTGTTCATTTGTTCAGACTATCTAATTCTTCATGACCCAACGGACCATAGGATGCCAGGCCCTTCTATGATTCATTGTCTCCTGAAGTTTGTCCAAGGTCATGTTCTTGCTTCCTTGACACTATCTCGTCCTTAGCCATCTCCTCCCTTTGCCTACAGTCTTTCCCAGCTTCAGGGTAATAAGTCCTGTCTTCTCATTGTGTGGCCAAAGTATATAAGCTTTAGCTTCGGTATTTGTCCTTCCAGTGAGTATTAATTTTTTTAAGCATTGACTGATTTGATTTTCTTGATGTGCAGAAGGCTCTCAAAAGTCTTCTCCAGCACCACAATTCGAAATTGACAATCCTGCAGTGCTCAGCTTTCCTTTTAATCCAACTCTTACAGCCATACATTACTACTGGAAAAACCATAACTTTGACTTTATGAACATTTGTTGGCAAGGTGATGTCTATACTTTTTAGTATGCTGTCCAGATTTGCCATAGCTTTTTCCTTCAAGGAACAAGTGTCTTTTAATTTTACAGCTGCAGTCACTGTCAAAAATGTAAAATGTAACAAGGCTTCCATTTCTTCTCCTTTTGTTTGCCAGGAAGTAATGAGACCAGTTGCCGTGATCTTTTTTTTTTTTTTTTTTAATGTTAAGCTTCAAGCCAGCTTTTACAATCTCTTCTTTTACTGTCATCAAGGAGCTTCTTAATTCTTCTTCACTTTATGCCATCAGAGTGGTATCATCTGCATATCTGAGATTGTTGGTATTTCTCCAGGCAACCTTAATTCTGGCTTTTGATTTGTCTAGCCTGTCATTTTGTATGATGTACTCTGCAAATAAATAAAAATAAGGTAATGTTATACAGCCTTGTTGTATTGCTTTTCCAGTCTTAATCCAGTCAATTGTTCCATGTTGCATTCTGTTGCTTGTTGGCCTGCATACGGGTTCCTCAGGAGACAAGTAAGATGATCTGGTACTTGGATATCTTTGAGGACTTGTCACATTTTGTTGTGATCTGCACAGTTAAAGGCTTTAGGGTAGTCAGTGAAGCAGAAGTAGAAAAAATCAATACTTACCCAGAAAATACACTTGTACAGTTAAACATAAATATTTTATAATCATCAAGGAAAAACCATAGTATATATAGTTTAAAAATAGCTTCAGCAGTCCAAGATATATAATAATTTGGTGGCATCCCTAAAGCTGGGTGATAGCTTGTTCAGGCTGTTGTTGTCTGAAGGAATTACTCAACAGATATACAGGCCTCTGAGGTTCCTTCCAACTCTTGAGATTTTGTGACTCTAACAAAGTATAGTCAGCATCTTCAGATGCCATTTATACCTGTCATTTTTTTTTTTTTTTCAACATTAATCAACTTAGTCTTGTGCCATTATTATTATGGGTATTATTCTCAGCATACTTAAAGCCTGAGAACAAGCATGTTAAATTGCTTTGTGAAAGACTTTTAGGAAATGTGTATTGTTTTAAAATCCACATTCAGTTTTCTTTTTTAGCTCTTGGCCAAAGGAGTTGTAGCCCTATTCATAAAATTTTGATGGTTTACTGTAAAGAGAAACCCATAGCAACAAAAGCACGTGAGGCAGATGACCCATCTATTGGCAGAGTAGAGTTGGCATGTAATAATTGAGCCAACCACGTTACAGTAAATTAACCCACAGTGTGAAGAGTACTATCCTAAATCTAAGATCTTTCAGATCCAGGAAAAAAAGAGGAGGATGACATGAGTAAAATATGACATTTGTAAGGAACGTAACATGGCAAGCTAAATAATTAGACCTTGTTGAAGTCTAATGCAGCCTGACAAAGTGAGAGGAATGCTAGATTTGGAGTAGGGAAATCTAGATTTGAATCCCAGATACTACTTATTAGTCCTATAATTGTGGGCACATCATCTAACTTCTCTGAACTTTGATTTCCTCATCTTTAAAATGGGAATGATACTTGTCCTATGTGCCTCACAAAGTTGTTAGGAAAATCAATGAAGTAATATGTTTTGTTCATAGTATTTAGAACTGGCAGAGACCTTAAAGATTGTCTAGATATATAATCTTTGAGATTATTTAGTTCAACTCCCCATTCCCCTACCCTCTTCATCCCTCCCATTTTATAGATGAGAAAATTTAGGCCTGAGTTTCCCGAGGTCACACAGGTCATAAGTAGCACAGCCAGTATTTTAAAAAAATGACTTCTGTATTTGAAATCCAGGAACCTTTTCACCGCACTATGTTTCTTGGAAACTCTTTCTCCATAAAATTTTGTATAAAAATTAGTTGTATGTAAGCCATAAAATCTTGCTTATTATTGATAATGTGGAAATGCTTTAGAAATTAAGAGTTCTCTCATTAGGTAAGTTACGTAAGCATTTCAATGATAAACAGATCTTTCCTGGGAAATCCTTAGTGTTTATTGGTTTTTTCCAAGAGATTCTGAGTCTTTTTTTCTCTCTTAATTTGAATATTTTGCAGGTATATAACACCTAGGGAGCAAAAATTCACCTTTTTCATAGACATTATGTTTATTTCTGGATGTGATAAAATTCTCATCCAGGGACAGCCTGTCAGACTCAGTGAACATTGCAATTTGATTGCTAACCCCAGGTCCTCGTTACTGTTCAGTGTAACATGCCTGCTGACCACTTTTCAAAGAAAGCATATTGATTTCCTCCTACTTTCTTTTTTTGGCATCACCTTAGCCTCTCATTGCAGCTGCTTATCAAACTAGTATTTTTAAAAATTGTTAATTTCTGCTCTTAGACTTGTTTATTACATTTAGCTTTTTTTCCAACTGTGCAGAAACTTAACTCTTTTCCTTCTCTTTTCTGCCTCTTCATCCCTCATAATCCCATGTTGAATTGATCTTGTATTTGACTATGTGTGGTTAATGACCTTATGCTTTTAACCAGCGAGTGTTTGATTAGTTTCAGAAGTGTAATGTCTTCAGTAATTAGTGTTCCCATTTGCAGTCTTTCATGCTAGTAGGGGAAAGAGGTAGCAGAAATAAATAAGTTTAACAGTTAATTCATAAATTTCATATCACCCAGTTGCTATAAC